TATTCAATGTTGTAAATATTATTTATGAACAAAATGAAATCAAAGATTCACATAAGAATGAGTACGAAAACAAGTAGTGGAGGTTTTAATGGCAGTATATTTACTAATTTTGGCGGGAGTTTTGTTGAAATCGATATTTTTCTAGATATCGATTACTCTCGACTAGTATAATTGCCGTAACTTTGCACATAACACACATTGCCAACTTCGCTAAGAGAGTTTGTGTTCAACGATCGACAAGGTGCAAGAAGGTGATTATTTCAAGTATATGAAATATGTTTTTTATGCACATACTTATTTAATGTAATATATATTATTGATAGTTGCAATTTATAGCACAATTATTTTTATTTCGTTATCGTTATACAAGTGTTAAAACGAATATTTTTTTTGTGTCGTCAGTGTACTCTCTCACTACACTGTGCTACGAAATTGTTAAGTGCATATAATTTATTACAGTATTTTTTACTTTATTTTCTTTATTAATAACTAATAAAGATAAAAATAATTTTATCCTACTTTGTAAAATATTAATTCATCAAATTTAGTAAGTAATACGATTTTTATGGTAAATATTATCTGTATATTTGAAATATTTTTGTTGATTGATTTATTTATTACATTGTCCTAATTTAAAAAAATTTTTTTAAACCTTTTTAAAAATTAATAAAAGGTTTAGTGAAAAATGTAAAAATACAAATTTTTAATTTTAGTTATAATGTCAAAAACACATAGCCCCACTGTTTTTAATGGAGAAGCTGACAATTTTTTTGACCCAAATTTTTCTTTGGACATTAACAAAAGGATGCAAGTACCAAAGAGTATTCGTGTGAGTGGTAACTACACAGACGAAGAAGTAACTGGTACAAATGGTTCTAGTTGGAATCAGATAATTCCAACAGAAAAATTTGAAATGCATGTTCCAGACAGAATTTTAGTTGTTGGTAAATATATATACCTTTAACATTTACTTATACATTTATACATTAAGGAAGTTATTGTACATATAAGATATTCTATCAACTTTGTCTACCTTAGATATCTTTATTATTTCAAATAATAAGCAAAAACATTATTTATAAAAGTTGTATGGTTGTAAAAAAGATATAACATGGTAGTAAGAGTTTTTTTTACAGATACAGGCATAGAAGAGACCTAGAGGTTAATTTTGTTTTTTTAAATAGATTGTCTAATTTTTTATAATCAAATTAGATAAAATAGCAAATTCTAAGTATAAAAGTACTAAGGTACATTTATCCTAAAACCCACAATTCCTGAGATATTAAAGTTAGTACATCTTATTACTTTCATTATGAAACATGTTTGCAATGTCAGCTATACAGGTTGCCAAATAGCTTGCAAACTTATAAAGCACTTATAATTTTGCATATTTGTTTCAAAATAGGTTCTTTTCAATAGATTTTAGTCTTTTCAATTCTAGTAAACCATGTAAAATAAAAGTAACATTAGATATAATTAAATATACTTAGGTCAAGAACAACATGTTGGAACAAAAGCACCACCAAGAGAAATTACATTAGAAAATGCTGTCCTACCACCTGAACCAGGCATGGTTAGAGTACAGGTAAATATTTTAATATGTAATCAAGTACTTTTTAAAAGTAATTACTCTTGGGTTTGATTTTAACCAATTTTCTCATATTTAAAATTCAACATGTTATTGTATTGTAAATAATTGTGCAGTTATTTGAAAGAAAATAAGCACAAAGTAATATTTTTGTATTATTGGTAGACTCCACCAAGGATCTTGACACTTGATAACGAGTATTTTCCGGTTATTCAAGAAGATGAACCAAATTCATATTCAACAGATGCTAGGGATACGGTAACCTCTAAATCTCAGGGGCAATATTCTATGGAAACACAAATAGTTAGACATGCTAGGTAAATTTGTTTATTAATCTATACAGAATTATATATACTCCTTTCTTTAAAAATATATATAACTTCTCTTTTCTAGAGATCAAACTCCCTCATATAGTGCAGTTAACGTTTCTCTCCCACCTAGTGAAGAGATGCAACATTTACGTCGACAAGTAGGAAAATTAAATCGTCGAGTAATGGCTATTGAACTTGAGATGTTGCAACGTCAACAGAGAGAAAAAATTTTATGTGCATTAACATTAACATACTTGATTCTTAAAGCTTTTTCATGGTTGACAAGAAATTAAGTTTCTGTTAAAAAAAATGTAAAAGATTTGCATCTTGTGTAAAAATGGTATTGTTAATCCATATACATACAAGGTGTTCTGCAAAAGTCTCCCTTGCTCCATGAGGAAATTTATAACCAAAGACTTTATCTTGAGTACATGAAACTAAAATGTTCAAAGTAAATGTATCATACATATTCAAAATTAAATTATTCTTACTATTTGCACGAAAGTATTATAATCAAATTTTTAAATTTCTAACTTATGGAGCACTTATTATTATTGTTTTTGTGCTTTTTTTTTTATTGTATACAATGAATTGAAATTCTTCCCTACTTGATATGTATAACAATTGAATGTATAGGATACCAATTTTCAAAATAATTGAGCACTGGTATTCAAGTATATTTATGAAGTGTAATTTACATTATCAAATTACCAGAACATGATTTTTTTTTATATTTAAGTTAAAGTTCTATTAAAGAATCCGAATTTTGCATGAATATAATTATGTAATAATAACAAAATGGAAACAGAAATTAGATATATTTACAATATAATAAGTAATTGTAAATTTGTAAGAGTAGGAAAAATGATGTTATAAGATTTTACTTACATTATCCATTGAAATTGGCATTAATTTTCGCCGTTATATTTTTTTTTTTATTTACTTTTTATTACTTCTGTATACGTAAAAATATATTGTAGTCATA